TTCCGATCTAAATATTTTTTTAATTGTTTGAACATATTTTATTTAAATTTTGTAGTAGTATTTTCATTGTCATTTTATTTCTTTACGTAAAATTTCTTTTGTTTTTAGTTTTAAGATAAAATTTAATTTTTAATTTTCATTAACGAAATTATCAATATTAGAAATTTATTTTGTAATTTGAAATTTATTTTTATTAATTTTTTATTTGTTATAAATAAGCCTTCAATTTCATGGTATTATCCATAGTTTGAGTATTCTCGTCATAACTTTAAGAAATTTTTAATATCAAATTAAAATAGTCTTTCCCTTTCATTTTTAATAGTAAATTATTAATGATTTTCTTTAATTTTTCTATTTCTTTAATCTAATATGTAGTTTTATTACATTTTATGTGCCTTTTCATCAAGAAAATGTGATTTTCTGATCATATTTAAAAAAAATCTCATCTCAAATTCAAATAATTTTTTCTATTTTTTAAATTAGATCGCATTTTCAAAAAATTATGTTATGCATTCAAATTTAAATTAACCGTACTTAATTCAGATATTAATCATAAAAAATATTTTCTTTGTTGTTTGAACATGCAATATCTAAATTTATAGTAATATTTGCGTATAAAATATCTATTTGCCGGATTTATCAATATCAATATGACTTTATTATTTTTATTGTTAAAATATTTTTATTGATTATTTAATTTTTTCTTACCCTATAAATAATTTGTATATTTTATGTAAGATCTTATTTTGCTACCTGATATTTTTATATTTTAAAGACAATATATCTTTAAAATCTTAAGTAAATGTTAGTTTTATTTTATATTTTAACTTACTCCAAAGTATAAATAGTCATAGGTTATTCAATTTACATCTTTCTATATTTTTTATTTTTATTTATATTATAGTTTTAATTAATTATTTTACCTCCATATTTCTAGATAATATAGAAGAAAGTCTAGGAGTGGGTCTCTCTCTCTCTCTCTTTATATATATATATATATATATATATATATATATATATTAGATTTGTCTAAGATCTATTTAGATTATGTATAAGATTCATTCAACTACTTTCATTAATTATATTTCCATTTATAATTTCTAATTATTAATGTTGTCTTAAAATTTCCAAGTGACTTCATTTTAGCTTACCACTTGGCTTAACCACAATGCATACTACTCTCCTTTTAATATAATATAGATATCTCTCTTGAGATTCTCACCTAACTACGTATCCTCACAAAAAACGTATGCTCCTTTTTATTTTTCTAAATGTTTCCTTTTCTTTCTCTTCTAGTTGTATACACAAATATATGATTATAGTATATTTGATATACCATTACTATATGTAAAGAAATATATTGCGTATATTTCTAATAAATATAATATATATTAATATACTCAAATACACAAATTATATACCAGTATGTTAATATCTTATTGATCTATGGTACATTAATTATTATATATTTAGTATCGGTCATATATTTTTAACATATATGCAGTATACTATATACATATACTTAATTTTTAAAGCTTTCCTAGTAAGTCTATATAAATAATAAGTATATTTTTACATATATACAGTATACTATATACATGTGGTGCTCGAATTGATTAGTTGGTATATTAACCATTATTTATTAGAGTACATAAAACATAATAAAATAAGTCAATTAAGTTTTTGATTTGTAGTAGTTTATTTGATATTCTGTATGACCAAATATTATATTTTTCTTTACCCTACCAAAAAGTAAGAGACATTATGTTGCCGTTTTTTTTTACAAGAGTAGTCTCAATGGAATAAAATCATAGATCTAATTTTGTTGGAAAAAAATAGGATTAGTTACCTCCTATAGCAAAGGTTGATACCTTATTTATTTTAAATAAATACCCTTTTAAAAAATTATATTCCATAACTACCTTTTGATTTTTATAGCCAAATATCTATTTATGGTCACCTCCTGCCCTTAAGCCATAAAATAAGCTTTGTATTATTTTTCTCTCTCATATCCCCTCAAATTTCTCCTATCCCCTACCTCATATCTATTCTCCCTCTCTCTCTACTTCCCGATGTCTTCTCCTCCGCCGGACGCTGGAGTAATTGCCACCGTCACCATTTCGACCGTGACCGTTATTCATTGATACCGCCGCCCTCAGCCTCCCAATCTCATTCTCTGACGCAACATATCGGATCAACAAAAACCTCCGTTATTTTGTCGGCAATTACATGCTAATCGTCGGCAACCGGAGGCAATGGTGACGGCGAGCAAGGATTGGATACTGATGTTGCTTCAACGAGACGACATTAGGGTTGTTCTTGAACAAAGACGACGGAGTTGGGAGCTGAGCAACTTGAATTTTCTGTTAATAGATTTCAACGTATTTCAATGTATCTCGTTGTATTTCATTGTATTCATTGTCTTTTTTTTCATGGTATTTCAATGTATCTCGCTGTATTTTATGTATTTCATTGTATTCATTGTCTTTTTTTTTATTGTATCTCAATGTATCCCGCTATATTCTATGTATTTCATTATATTCACTGTCTCGCTATATTCCACGAATGTATTCATATATTTTTTTTTTAATTAATATAATTTATGTATTCAAATGTATTATATAATTTCTCTGAAGATTGCTATGTTTTTGGGGTGTTTTTTGGTTGAGAATCTTTTTATAACTGGAAATACAAAATTTGTGTGTTATAATTGAGTTTGTTGAGTTTGTTGAGTTATATTAGGAGTCTATTATGTTAATTGATTTACTTTCCGTTTAAAAATAGTGTAATCCCCTGTTTTACGCCGTGAATACAGTCGAATACAATAATTTGTTCAGCTGTAATCCCATGTTTCACGCCATGAATACAGTCGAATACACTCGAATACAAAAATCTGTCTAGTTGTAATCCCTTGTTTCACGCCTAGAAATGCTACAGTATTCATGAATACAGTAGCTTAAATACATCGAATACACTCTAAAAAATCTGAAAACAGAGCTATAGGAAGTAATATAGTAAATGGTAGCTACAACTAGCTAATAACCAATAAAACATAGTGGTTTCTGAAAGCTTCTCAAAAAAAATACTCCTATCCCAAGATAGAGAAGGAATCTGAAAGAATAAATATACCAAAATGGAGTACTAGCATTGCCAAGGAAGGATGCTTGTGATAATAATCTACATTTAATAGAATGGAGGATTTTTAGGGATAACTAAATATGGTTCATAGACAATTTCCTAAATTACGAGGAACGAACCACCTTTGAAAGATATCTTCTTTATTTATGGTTATGTTGTAGAATATGTTGTTTATTTAATAGTTGTAGATTATGGAATATTTTATGATTTCATATGTAATTATGAAAATTTCCTCCAGCCAGCCCAAAAGTCCAGTAAGATTAACGTAAAAATATTTTGCATAATTCGCTTTAAGCTAAGGTTCTATCGAAAACAGTCTCTCTGCCTGCAAAGGTAGGGGTAAGGCTACGTATACAATACCCTTCACATACCTTACTTATGGGATTATACTGGGTATCATGTTATTGATTTGCATAATTCAATCAGATTTACGTCAAGATTTTTAATTTTTTAAAAAAAAAATAATACATAGAGGGGTAGAGGAAGGGGAATGAGGGAGGGAATTACAAGGTGAGGACCAACAAGGTGAAAGTTCAAGTAGCCAACCAACTTGAGGTACTAAGATACCCCATCAAGATTTTGTATCAAGTTTTAACGCATGATCAACGAAAAGTCTCAGTATTTCCAGCAACAAGACTGACTAAAGAGCAAAGAGAAGTATTAGATTCACCAATATAGAAATGGAGAAGGTCCAAGAACAATGACTTCAGATAATATATCACAGTTCATCACTCCTTAATTATATAACCAAAACAATAGTTAGTCCTAACTGGCCATTTTGTAGAACGAAAATTAACTTTTCTTGTACAACAATCTGAATGCTACTCTAAATCGTTTAAACAACACCCCATTGAAGTAGTACAAACTATAGTAGTCAGTTTCCTAGGTCGAATCCATGTTTATGTTCTCAGAACAAGTGATTGCAGGTATGATCTTGCTGTGGAAGCTGCAGAAAGAGAGGCTTCATCGGGATTCTCTTTAGCAGCAGCAACTGCTGCAATATAAGCTTCTCTTGCCTTCTCCATTTTCTGCAAATCTCTTTCATTCAACTGATCCTGTACGAAATGAAATTGAGAAATTGAGAATAAAATCCACAACAAAGCTCGAAGTATAATTGCACTTGTCAGAAAGTTGAGACCTTGTATTTTAAACTAAATCTATCAAATGGAGTTGACTGTCTGACCTCCATCTAGTGATCTTTTTTCAATGGTAAAAGCACCCCATTGCAGAGATAGGGCGGCGGGCAAAAGACAGTAGATATAACAATCTTATATTTTTTTGTAACTAATACTGCATTCTGTCTTAGAGATTGATATCATTTCAAAAATGTTAACTTACTATTTCAACATTTTGATCCCATGAATAAGGGATGGCATCGCACTCTTCAGCCGAAGCCCTGGGATCATTTTCTGTCAACGCATGTACAAACTGCATGAATGATGAAATTTCTCCTTGCAATGAGTCCAGATCTTCTTGGAGTCTCTCCGCTTCCTTGCTGGAAGTCATTGCTTCCCATTCTAGCTTCTCTACAGCTGCTTTCTTGTCAGCTAACTTAACCTATAGAGAGAGAAGGAAAACTTTTTAAAGAAGGTGACTTCAGGTTAGTGGAGTTACCCTGCCGATTGCTGAGTTCGGAAACTACACTGAAATTTGAGCAGAAAGCTATTGTGAGCTTGTTTAACAGGTCAAATGGAAGAACCTTGAGGGAGATCTAGTAGTAAGAGTTACTCCTCAAAGTGCAGCAATGTGAAGGAGTAACATCTATTAGATAGGCACCAAGACATCAGTTTTTGACAGGAGTAACAAAAGGTCACTCATTCATTCAAACAGCAACAAAAAATTACTACTATTGTATAACTACTCCCTATTTAACTCCATCATCTACTCTCTCTAACACTGGTCTCAAGCAGACAGCTGAGTCATTTAGCTCCCGTTTGGCCATAGAATTCGGGAGATTTTTTCATATTTTATTTTCAAATATCTGTTTGATTATAGATTTTAACCATGTTTTGGCAGATGTTGAAAACAAAATCTTCAAATCCCAAAAACATCTCTTAATTAGTTTTTGAAGTTTTCTACTCACAAAACTTCAAATTCTTTTAAAGTAAAATGCATGTTGAAATACACTTTCAACTTTCAAAAACCATTTTTCATCTCAACTATAAAAACTCATTTTTTCAAGTTCCAACCAAATCTATGTCCAAACGCTAGCTTAGTTAAGAGAGTACTGACAGACTGTGAACTCTAAAACCATAGCAATATATATTTGTAGAAAAAATTGCATCTTTTCCTTTATCTTTCCCTTCTATGGGGTTGGAGGGATATTAATCTAGCATTAATCCTTTTTACCTGTGCATCAGAGAGTTGCACTTGAGTCGTTTTGACTAAAAAGTCCTTCTCCGAAATATCCTTTTTCATTTCGTCAAGTTCAGCATTAGTAGCCGTTATTTCATTCTTCAAGATTTCTGCTTCCTTCAAGAGTTCATCTTTCTCCAATAATTTCTTTTGCAGATCCTCCACTTTCTCCCTCAAAGTCATCAATTCCTCTCTATCCTTTTCTGTTAGTGATGATCTTGAGGAAGGCGTTGAAAAGTTCTCCGCACATTCATCCTGGCTACTGCTAACATTCTTATTTTGGTCCCTATGCTTCTTTGTTGCAGTTGATTGACCTGCATTTCTTCCTTTTGCTTCAGACGTCTGCAACAACCAAACCATTTGTCAACATCTATTTTGACAACATCTATTTTAAGCTAAACCAAACCATAATTCATTTACATACCGCAAATAAGTAAGGAAAACAAACTTTCTTTGTATGGAAAACCTTAAAAAGTAGAATGTCCCAAGGATCAAAAACTGCAAAATAAACAGCTAATTCAAGAGCAACATCTCTGCATATTTCATGCCTGATGTTTTCAGGCAATCATCATGCTTATCGAAGTTCATTTCAGTGTGCTCCAACTCACTGAGTAATGCCACTTGCAATGGCTGGAAGTACTCAAACTGTCAAACATTTCTCTGGTCTGCTGCCTCAAACTGAAGCAACTTATAGTTGAATAACAGAACCAAGTATAGAAGAGCAGAATGAGAGTGAAATATTTCACGTCTTCACTGTCTTAAGTGGGAGAGTGGGGAACCAAGTTTAGATGTGTAGAAATAATATTAGAGCAGGCATTAAGTTATCAAGTGCCTAAAACTAGTAGCCAGGCCAAAAGTCAGAAAACAAATGTTTACACAAGCAAAAACTGGGTAGGTTTCATGTTAGATTAAGAAGCTTATTGGGATTAAACCAAATAGCACCCAAGCCAAAAGTTCGAAGCTAATCCTAAAAGATGTCTGGTAACATAAGACACTTATACAAACATACTGGGGATAGAATTTGCAGCACTCATCCTATAATGTATTATACATCCTTTTCCTTTTTGATAATGGTATTCCTGAGTGTTATCAAAGTCGAAAAGCTCTAAAAAGCATTGTAGGTCCATTAGGGCTTTAAGCGCAAAGTGCACTTAAAGTGTGGGCTTTTGTCAAAAAAAGTTGCAACTATGGGAAAAGATAAAATATATGTAATTCAAGAATAAAGTAATAAATTCATTTATAATTTTTTCCTTTACAGCTACCACATTTATTTTCTGATCATATTTGTTGTTTGGTGCCACTTGATTCCCCATAAAACTCATGGGAAATGAGGTACATGTCTTAGTGCCTTGCCTTGCACTGAAGTGCAACTTAAGCGAGGCGAAGCGCCCTCCTTGAACTTTTCTGAGCTTAAGCGCGCTTTAAATGAGCCTTTGACAACACTGGACTATTACTATATATGAATCCTGAAATACGATGCATGCTTCCAAGAATTAAATACTATGTTTTGGTTCGTGGCAATAAGTACAGATTCTTATGACAAATCCACATCCTAAGAGTTTAAGCAGACTTCTGCTTATAAATTTCAGGTTTCCAATTACAGTCAAGAGTGAGCCAAAAAATAGTTAACCTGAACAAATAAATAGAAAACAGCATAAAACATTTCTTCCCTCAGCTCAACAACAAAGATAACAGTTTGAGCAGCAACAACAACAACAATAACAACAGCTATACAACAACAACTACTACCCCTCAATGCCAAACTAGTTGGAGTATGCTACATGAATCATCAATATCCATTCTGCTACATTTGGACCATTTTATTCGAAATGTGTGCACAATTGAAAAAAAGGGCAACGCAGTGCACTAAGGTCCCGTTATGCGCGGGGTCCAGGGACCACAAGGGTCTATTATACACAGCCTTACCCTGCATTTCTGCAAGAGGCTGTTTCCATGGCTCGAACCCATGACCTTCTGTTCACGTGGAAACAACTTTACCAGTTACGCCAAGGCTCCCCATCATGTGCAGAATTGAAAATTAAACACAAAACTTAGTCATTCTAGCTAATATGATTAAACACGTATACCCCAAAAGACATTATCATTTCCATATCCCACACTAAAGAAGAGGCATAGTGAGGAAACAAACCTTCTTGTAAAGTGATTCTCTTGAAGGCATTTTGGTATAGGTCATTGATCCCCTTCTAGTAAATGAAGATTTTTCCTTCCGATCCTATAATATTCAAAGGAGAAACTTTCAAATTTTACAACGCTCCCACTGAATAAAAAGCTCAAATCTCCTAATAAGGAGATTGACTGGCATTTATTTCCACGGCAAGTATTAAAACAAGAATTCACTCAATTAATAAACTACTCATTTCCCAACACAAAACTAAATCGGGGTCCGTCCACTATCAAATTCCAGAAATCACCCTAGAGTACTGAAAGGAGAAAAGGGGGTAAATTTTGGAGAGAAAAATTCCAAAAAATAACCCAAAATACCAAACTGCAGGGAAAACAAGATTAAGTAAATTTTGGAATTAAAATTCAGAAAAATAACAACCCCCCCCCCCCCCCAAAAAAAAAAAAAGACCCAAAGTAACCAAACTGAAAAAAATGATTTACTTACAATGAGGGACTGAACAAGAGGGACGATCTGGACGAGGTCATTAAAGAGCAAGGGATCAACATTAGAGGAGGAGAGAGAAGAATCGGTGCGAGAGATTTCATTTTCATGGGAAAGCCAACAACTTGGATCTGTTCCTCCATTGTCAAATGCAGCGCCGTTGTTGTCCTGCAAATCGAACAACTGCTGCTGCTGCTGCGGCTTGTACATTGTTGGAATGAGTTACAAAAGTTGACAGTAGCTGTTACTTACTGTAATAGGGATATGACAATTTTGGGAAAGTAGAGTTCAAATGCCGTTGATTTTGCTCAGACTTTAAACTTCAAAATTATTCTGTTACGAAAATTGTCGCTATTGCTATTTTAAGTGATTAATACTACTGTTTATTTGTTATGACTATAATATTTAATTTGGTGAATGTCCACGTAGTTAAGTAAATACATGAATTAATTATGTACTAGTTCATAATAATATATGTATTGTTAATAAGTTAAAGGGTTGTTTGGTTCGAAAAAGTTAAGCAGGAATTAAGAATATAGATTATTAATGTTTGATTTGTTATGTGGTGATTACTAATGCGGAATTCCTATGCAGTTATTAGTACCAAAAGAATTATTTTATTGGGTAATTAATAATAAAAAGATTATTGGTATACAAGAATTACTTGCTTAATGGCTACTTTTTTTTTTGAATAATCTAATCCTTACATGGCTAATACACACATTACTATTCCGCATTCTACCGCACAAAATAAATCATGAGGTTCTCATAACTTATCTGAATATTATAAACTCTCTTTGTTATAGTTAATGTGAACCCACTACTATTTAGGAAGTCAAATGAGATTTTTTTAGATCATATTATTTACAAAATATTACTTTTATGTAATTTCTAAATATGTACTTCTATTTCAAAAAAATTAAAATTTTCATATCCGAATTCACATTAAAAATTAGTTAGGTTGGGTCTCATATTCCAAGAAGTTCTAAATTAAACAAATAAGAAGTATAGAAAGATAAAAAATTGCAACCGAACGATGCCTTTCAGTTAATAAGGAGATAAATTCACCTTATTCAAGCAACCAAACAAACTATTGATTATGCTGAATTCAATGAGAATACTTCTTCAATTCAGGCAACCAAACGGGTACTGGGTGTTTTGTAGAGATCGGCAATTTTTAATGGTATTTCTATCAAATGCTTTCATTCATTTATTTTTAATCGCATTAAATAATATATAGATCCTAGAATAAGTTATTCAAGTATTAGGCTTAATACCATCAATTAATACTGCACTATTATGCACATTATGGGTCATGTTTGCATTAAATAGTATAATTGGCTGAAAAAATAAAACAAAACAACCTTCTATTTTTTTTTGGGAATGACATCCTACTTACAAGTTACTCCCTCCGGTCCAAAATAAGTAATTTTTTGGCATTTTTCTTGTGGTCCAAAATAAGTAATTTTTCCAAATTTCAAGAATGAATTAATTATTTTTTTCCTACATTGTCCTTGAAGTAAATGGTGTTGGAATATGTGTTAGGAATATTTATGTGATATAGTAAAGGTTAATATGGTCAATTCCATTGCTAATTAATGCTAAAAGGTAAATTTCTTAATTTGTGTAAAAACATCCAAAAAATCACTTATTTTGGACCGGAGGGAGTACAACAACACATAATCTTACATTTTTATATGTTCTTATTTTGACCATTTCCCTCGCTTAACGTTAAATACTACTCCTCCGTTCCACCCCTTTTTGACTTGTTTAGGACCATAAATTCAAAAGTCTTTCATTACGTTTTTAAAGACATTTGCATTGATGGGGTTCCTTCCGACAAAGAATGTTCTTTGCATCATACATTACCTACTTAACTGTGAACTAGCCATATATTCGAGTTCCATTAGAAACATTAAAAAAATAGCACCTCTGAAAATACAATGATTTAATTCAAGTAATTAAATTCTAATCATAGAAAGGATTTTGGCCTTCACAGAACCTTTGGGTAAGCAATTTACCAGAGAATAAAATTTAGAACATTATATTGTTACAGAAAGGTTCAAAATTAGAAAATTATATAAACGTCAATGCTCAAATACTTGAAGATTATTTGTTCGACTATGCTAAAAACCTAAGAAACAATGACTAGCATAGCTGCAACATGATTCAAATAGACCCGAATATATCCAACAATGACTAGAGTATACGCAAGACGTACTAATATATTTATCACTTTGCGTTACTCGGGTACCATTGGATAGTATCTCGGATACCTGCTACCTGTCAATTAACCGTAATTTCTTTAGTCTGAAAGGAAATATATTACTACTTACTAATGATGCAATGAAACACCATATACAATTGCTGTATTGCAGGCAACTGTAACGTCAATGAAGAGTCAGACCGCAAAATGTAAGTCTTTCCAAAACTGATACTTAAATTAAAAGTGAGAACTTAGAAGTATTCCAGAAATTTTAAATATTAATCAAAACAAGGAGCAAAACAGATGGCCTTGTCAGGTTCAGGTACACCTCTTTTGACGAGAAAACATAGTAACAACATAAAGAGAAGCAACATAGAACTTCTGATTGTTGTTCTTCAGTATAGCCACCCATTTCAATCAAAACTTAAGAGAGTAACAGAATTCCTGTCACAAACAGTAGCAGATGATCAACAGAGGAGCCAAAAATAAAATGATATGTAACATGGAATTTAGTACTCCAAAACTAAAAAAATGAACAGTTTATAATTTACTTACATATTTTGTTGAAAGCAACAATATCGCAGCTCTGAACGTACTCACTGATAGGTTCAACCGTAAAATAATTCTCAACGAGATCATCCACAGAGACCAAGTCATCCACAATGGTAAGCATGATTTGCAGCTTCTTAATACCATATCCAACAGGAACAAGTTTAGCTGCAAATAAAAATTGTGATTGTCATTAAACCCCAACGATTTAAGAGCTTTTCAAGACAACCTCCAAAATAATATTCAGGTTAGATCAACAATATCCAAGAAAGGAAAGCTAAAAGATACTGGATGATGAAAAAGCAATTCTAACTTCCAGTAAAAATAAAAATTCAACTCAATAGAACAAAGAACAGAAGCTCACATGCTCCATAAGTCAATCCTTCCATCTGAACACTTCGAACAGCTTCTTCAAGCTTCTTCATGTCGGTCTCATCATCCCATGGCTTGACATCCAATAGAACTGAGGACTTGCCAGCTGAAATCGAATGAGAGCAAAAGGTCAGTTCAAAATTTCAGCAAGTTTTTCCACTTTAGTAGCAATGGTAAGGGTAATCAATAAGCAAGAAACAGCACATACTTTTCAATGTCCTTCAAATAAAAACAGTGTCATCTTATATTGAAAATATTAGACGGGAGAAAACTTACATTCTTTCTTCTTCCCTGAAGCCTTAACTGCTGCAGCACGTTCTTCAGCAGCCTTCTTTTCCTCTTCAGTTTCCTCACCAAATAGGTCAACGTCATCATCATCGTCTTCTTCAGCAGCTGAGGCCTAGAAGCAAATTAATCCAAGAGAAAAACAAAAAAAAAGAAGATTATTTACACTTGTAATAGTCAAATCACAGTTACACATGACATCCCTATACTAGAAGCTATAGAGGGATTGATAATGACAAAAAGAACATGCACACAGTAATGCAATCCAGACAGCAAGAAGAAAGAAATTGCAACATAAACTAAATACCAATTCAGAACAGATTGGAAGAATTTTCACACCTTAGTGTCAGCAGCAGGAGGAGTTGCCACTGCCTCTTCAGTGATTGGTGCAGATCCCTCTACAGTGACACCGGCACCTTCGCCAGATACACCACTGCAGAAATATGATTTTCAGTCGCATTGTGTTCAACAAGGACGGATAATTAAATAATTTGCAACCAATCACTAGTCCAAAAAAATTCCAAAGATATATCCAAAAAAATTCCAAAGATACATTCAACATATAACATGAAAACACTAATTTATTAAGCTCTTCAACTTACGAGATTCTCAAAAGTGCATCGATGTGCTTATACCACCTAGATGCATTCACATATTCAGCTGATGGGGCTTTTGCTAGATATGAATATACAGTGATATCATCCTTAGAGGCTTGGTACCTGAGACATGGATTTAACAAAAAACATCAGCATTCGATATAAAACACCGTCAAAAAGGACATCTCAGCAGTGAATGTCACACGTGTAACTCACCCGGAGATGTAACTGCGGGTCAAGAGGTACTCATCAAGCTTTTTGAGACCGGAATCAGAGTTGAGATTGTGGAATGCAACAGCCATTGCTTGATGATGATGCAAGTCTTTCTGCAATTGTATAAGAATAAAAACATCAACCTCTTCAATAAATTGATATTTTTTTAGAATGTCCATAAAATAAATGGACTTAAGTTTTCATTAATTTACGAATTGTTTGATCCAAGTCCTATTAAATAGCTTGAGCAATTCTATATCTGCATTATTTAAAAATCAGGTTGAGGATCCACCATTATTACCAACGCATGTTTTCATCTTAACAACGAAAACAACATATTGTCATCATTTAAAAATTAAAAGGCCACCAAATAAAAGGTATAATCCAAGTAATATCTTCAGCTCAACCTATATACATATATATGGTTGGACAATTTTAAGGAATTTATATTTATAACAGAATCCTTAATATGACTCGAAATTTACAAATACATGCTCAAAATGGCCACGAAATCAGAAAACTAATCGAAAACAATGTGAAAAAGTGAGATGAAGAGGGAAAGCGAGAGAAAACTCACCACGATCTGGCGATGACAGAAGACTGAAGAGAGAAACGAAGAAGCTGAAGCCGCTACACTGTGAGAAAAAGGGGCTTGTATGTTAGGGTTCTCAAGATTTTATAGTGGGGTTTGATTTGGAGCTCAAACAGTTGTAGGCTATTTATTTCGGCCCGTTAATAAGAACTTGGGCTACAATGTAGCCCGTAGGTTTCAAGCTTCATGGCCCAATACATAAGCCCACACTTTTGCGATAGGATTGTTACACAAATAGTCAGCCAAATTCAATGTTTACTTTTTCTACTCGGTATATATATATATATTATATATTAATTATACATACATTATACATAATTGATACATCTTTCGGCTATTTTTAGTCTAAGAGATTAGGTGAGCGGCTATTTAGGTTAATTCTTCAATAATAAGGGCTTTTAACAAATCTGGTTGGTCGACTAAAAATAATTAAGTCGCTAGCTAAATATATATACACTATATTAAAAGTACGAACGCCCTTAATGAAATATCGTTCGCCTTTTTTACCCCTTAAAATATATTTTATACTAGACAAAATTGTCATTTAAGTTATTTTTCTAATATTTAGGAGTATGGAATTAGCTAAACTTTTAATTATTACGTAAATTTTTCTTTATTCGAACTGTATAGAAAATCTTAACATTAAATTAGAACTTTTCCAGCATTTGTTCTCCTTAACATGTTGGACAATATTTTAGTTGTGTGTTCTTCATTTTTGCTTTTTCTTTTTGTGTCCTTAATAACTAAAATATTCTATTAAATAAATAATTTTATATTTGATAAATTTTTTAACAATCAATTTACGAATAATTTTCACTTGACCAATTGAATCTAGGCACCAACGCTAATTCTATCTTCTCATACAGAAAAAGCACTAACTCATCAACATAAATAATTGAAAATTTGAAGGCATTGTCATATATGAGAGAATTAAGAGAGGAATTCTAATCAATCTATTTCGAGAAGATAGTGAAATAAACTATTTAAAGAGATAAAATAAAAAATTTATCCATTATTTAGTATTACTATTATAAAAGTGAAAAAACTTAAAATAATCAGTTAATAGATCCAAATGTCCATTTGAACGATCATTTTATTCTTCAATCAAACATTATTCCGAACATATTTTTGTACTAAAAAATTATTTTACATTATAATAAGTACTACTGTTAAATATAATTATTATTTTTTGCATCATATCTGAAAAAACTACGGTCAATAATTAAAATAAATAACTAAAAAAATATTTAAAAATATAAGAAAAGAGAGATAGAGAGTGAAAGGTAGTTGGTAAGAGTCAACATCACTAATCATTCTATAAATACAATTCAAAAATAAAATGTAAGACTAACTTTTTAACCTTTTGAAAGTAGAATTCTTATTTTATAAAATTATAATAGCGGTTAAATATTTAAAACTAAGAATGAGCTAATATTAAAAAATAGTATAAAAAATTATTAGCTGTTTTCATGAAAGTTGAGAGCAAATATAACTCTTTGAATTAACTAATTAGTAAAACATTAATTAATTTATTAAATTCACCGTACATGTAAAATTACTTTTTAAGTTGACAATTAATTATTTAAATTTATTTTCATAAGAAGACCACTAGTAGTGAAAGAAATTGACTATAGTATAGTATTTAGATTCAAATTACCAAAAATAAAACTTTAAGCAATAAGGATGAAATCACAAACAATATTCTTAATTAAATGAGTTGTCATTAATTAAACCTTTTTTCCCAACAAATTACATCTTCCTATATTTCTTATATATTAAGTTACTATTATAAAATATTAACTCAACATTAGTCATTTACTGATTTTGCGTCATACTAATCAATTTTTTCTATGAACTATACATGGTCAACCTATTCATTCTCAAATCTCTAAAAGAGAATGTTCTGCCTTCTCTCTTGCCAATAGAGAGAGAAAGTTCTGGTGCAAATACCAACGAAAAACCAAATCTGAGCAAATCTATCACCAAAAAGATGACAGGCGAGATATCCATGACGGACACGGAGCAATCATCAACGTTGGCAACTGAGGAAGCAGATCTGCTCCAACGCAGTACACAAAAGCCAAAAATATAAGGGAGCAAAGTAGGCCCCCCAAGGTAAGCTTCAAAGACAGAGTACTTGAAAATCAACTATTTGATCATATAGATTTCGACTGTGATATGTTTAATAACCTATCTCTTGAAGATGAGAACGATAACCCCACAAATCACCCAAACTTTATACCAATCTCCTCAACTGAAAAATAAAGACTTTACAACCTTGGACCAAAGCCCTAATCATCAAACTATTAGGTAGAAGAATGGATTATAATCTTCTTCACGCCAAAATACAAAAAATATGGAACACCTCTGACCCACTAATAGCCTGTTTGGCCAAGCTTCTTTTTGGCCAAAAGTGCTTTTTTTTTGCCAAAAGCACTTTTGGCCAAAAATTGAGGTGTTTGACCAAGCTTTTGGAAGGAAAAAAAGTATTTTTGAGGAGAAGCAGAAGCTGTTTTGGAGAAGTAGAAAAAAGTAGCTTCTCTCCAAAAGCACTTTTTTGAGAAGCACTTTTGAGAAAAATACACTTAGAAGCAATTTTTTAAAGCTTGGCCAAACACTAATTGCTGCTCAGAAGTGCTTTTCAAACTAATTAGCCAAACACAAACTGCTTCTCACCAAAAGTACTTTTGAGAAAAACACTTTTGAAAAAAAGCACTTCTCAAAATAAGCTGATTTTTGCAGCTTGGCCAAACGGGCTATAAATCTTATAGACCTTGGTAATTATTTTTATCTTATAAGATTTTCTTTGGAGAACCTATACACCACTGTCCTGAATAATGGGCCACGGTTTATTGGTTCACAGTTCCTCTCCATCAGGAAATGAACACCGAAATTTAATCCCAACAATGTCCAGATTACCTTTTCTACGATATGGGTCCGCCTTCAAGAATTCCCTATAGAATATTATGACACACATATACTCCAAAAAATTGGAAACAAAGTTGGTACAGTTGTAAAAATCAACAGTTGTACGGCACACACAATACGAGGAATGTATACAGGACTATACATCTTAGCACCACTGGGCAAGCCTTTACCTAGAAATGTTATGATCGGCGAACACCTATAAAAAATACACTATGAGGATACAAACCCCCTGTGCATATTGTGCGGGTGCTTGGGCCACAGCCAAGATCTGATTTTTATTAGTCCAAAGACAATAACCCTTTGGTGCTAAAAAGATACCTTTATTTAATTTGTGCTCCAGCTTAAACTTCCCCACTATCAATGCCCACAACGAAGAGCTATCCAACAGACAGAACAGTCAACCTCACAAGCACAACCATCCCAAGACCAGTGAAAAACAGTCACTTATACAAACAAGAGGTACGCTACTAATAAAGCTTCAAAACTAGATGTAGATGGAAAATAAAGAGACGAAGGGAAAAATGAAAATTCCAAAGCCATTGAGCAACGAAAAGGAAAAGAAAAAGAAATTGAAAAAGGAAAGAAAAAGAAAATAAAAAAATAGAAATCAGAATAGAGGAAAAATAGAAGAAAAAGGGGGAGGGATAGAGGCAATGATTACATCAGAAAATGATGTTACTAGACATAGCAACTTTACGTTGAAAACACAAAAAAAGACCTCCTTTGAGTCCAAGGAAAAAATTAATGACTCTCCAGACAAAAAAGGGACATTACAAATCCCTAAAATAACAAGTTAGCTATCTTGAACGACCATGTGTGGGAACTTCAAAACAAAATCCCAAAAAATAATTCTAACAAATCTGAAACAACAGCAAAAATATCGGCTACACACTCTCTCTTCCAGTTTACCTCAACTGCAATTATAGAACCAACGAAACATAAAAATTCTAAGACAAAATGCATAAATAGAAAAACACCTACAACTACAAAAACTAGCTTTCCACGGCCCCCACCAAAATTACCCCAAACGAACAACCACTGAAACCCCAACCGTCAAACTGCCCCCATCCCTGTCCAATATCACTCCCATCACATTTAATGGACTGACCACTACCCTTCCTCCTACCCATAAACCTATTCATAACACTCATACCTCTTCTATCACCCCTATCTCAACCCATACGACCCAACATCAGACCCCCATAATTACCTCTCTAAAGGAAGGCCCACCAGAAATGTCTCACACTCTCACTCAACCATCTCAATCGCCACCAAATAACAACACAGCAAAAAATGCCAAGGCAGTACCACAACTATCACCGGAACCACCTCTACTACCAATGCCACTAGAACCACCACTATGGACGCCATCACAGGGAAGAAGAAGACTGCCAACCCAACCCCAACTACAAATAACCAACTACTTTTTCAAACAACAATCATCCCCGTCCCTACTGTCATTAGTCAACAACTCTACTTCAACCAGATAAGCAACTACATGTGTGGCCCCATGAACCAGTAGCGGGCTACACCACGCCAAATTCAGTAGGGCAACAACACCAATTACTCACATGCAAACCAGTACCTGGCGACCTCCACCCAACAACAGGCGGCCCTGATACTGGAAAAAACCCAAAAGCTAATCCAGATGATACAACAAGGCCTCTATGCCAACGATCAAGCAACAACAGCGCTACAATCACTCTAGACACAAGAGATAGCAGCCTTGGACCTTGTCCAACAGATAGGCAAACACAACGAGCACCAGCAACAAGAACTCCCACCACCTACACAGAAATAGGAGGAGGATGCATCCCCACAAACCAACTGGTTGCTCTTGTCGCCAGAACAAGCCCTGCCGGAGAACCTGGATATCGAGGCTACCCTAACACCACTAGAGCCATCATCTCTTTTGAACATGGAAGAGGCAGTGGCTATGATACTCGAGCCAAAACAACTGGCGCCAAACATCCTCGATCAATTTCTCAGGAACATCACACTGTAGGAATTACTGTTCGCGACCCTCAATGAAAACAAAGAAAAAAGGTGCGTCATCACTGTTCCAACAAATGTCCTGAGGATAGCAAGAACAAGCCCTGCCAGAGAACCTGGATATCGAGGCTACCATAACATCACTAGAGCCATCATCTACTTTGAACATGG